TCGATTTAATTTGATTAGTAACTGTACCCCATAATTTATAAACTCCATAACTAATATGGCTGTGGAAAATTGCATTGAAGTAAGTTAATTTTTTGACAGTCCCTGTGCTTGATATTAATGTGTAATATTCGGGTTAAATAATAAATATGTACACTAATAATGGCAACACTATTAAAAAAATTTGTTTATATTTTAGTACAATTTCTAAATGTTTAAAACAAAAAATCATCATTCCATATGGGAAGTTAAATTTTTGCCTCTTTTACTTATATAATTCCAACATTTTTCATTTACTAATGTGGAATGCTTAAACAGAGCAAAAAAATGTAGAAAAGTCTATTACTTTTTTATATTATTGAAACAATTATTCATTATTTTTCATAAATGCAATTTCATCTTTTATTGAATTTTATTAAACCCATTCTCGGGATTTAATTGCAATATTTTTCGAATGATAATGTTTGTATAAATATGGATAAAATAGTGAATTTGTGTACGTAATATGTTAAGCACTAAATATGATATTAACACAAATAGAGTGTTATAGCTCAAGTAAAGTGTATACGTAGCACAAATAAATTCCACATTCCTACCATAATTATAGAGTCTCTTTTACGCAGTTACGAAAATTTTTTCTACATTTTATAAATTATTTTTGGAAAATTATCAATATCTTTTGTAAAATTCTCAATAAATTTTCTTTGTTTCGCCCCAGACTAGTATTAATTGTCACGAAAATTTTTTTCAGTAATATTTTAAATTTTATTTCAAAAATAAATTTAGCAACAATTTCTACAATTTTACAAAAATAAATCTCACATATGACAAGCATTCAAATAATTTTCAAATCTAATTTAAAAAAAAAATATACAAAAAATTTTTCACTGTGTATAAGAGTATTACATGGCGTAGAAATGTATTTAAGTGTAAAAACTTACAAGAAAAGAAAGTATAAATGTAAGAAATTAAAAAAAAAAAATAAAACATTTTTATTTTTTTTACTTGTTTCTTTTTTAACTTTGTTTTCCACTTCATTAGATTTTAACCACGTCCTTAAAAACCAAACCGAAAGGAAGTTACATGCACAGTTACATTAAATTTTCTTTTTAGTTGCTCCTCTCTTGTTTCATATTAAAAAAAAACAAAAAACAAACAGCTAGCAAGGAAGAAAATGAAACAAAATAAAATTTTCATTTTCGGTTTTGTTTTTTTTTTTTTGTTGCTTTTCCTTAAAAATCGCATTCCTTTGCTATTTTTCCTTATAGAAGAAAATAAGAAAAAAGAAAAGAAAATATTAATCCGCTTCTTAAAGAATAAATAAAAGAAAAAAGATTAGTATTTTAAAATCAGATTAAAAAAAAAAAAAAACATGGTTGAAAAATTTTTAAGGATAATTGAGCAGTGGTTATAAGTCTATTAAAAAAGCATTTAAGAAAAACAACAAAAAAATTTTCTTATAATAATTTTGTTATTTTTTTACATTATTATAAATTCATTTTATAAATGGAAATTTAAAGAAGGTAATTTTTGAAAATTCTAAAATTACAAAAAGTAGCTAACATTTTTTTTTTTCTTTATTTTCTTTTACTCAAAAGTTATTTTGAAAATATTATAAGAATTTAATCCTTTTTTAATATACACAAAATATAGTTGATATACATATTATTATATTAGTGTATAACACTATTAAAAATTCAGGTAAGAAATTTTTATATTTTATGTAACATAAAATATAAAAATTTAGTACATAATTGTAAAATTTTAATTAATTCATTAAAATGAATCCTATTTTATTGTAGCGCGGTCTATAGAACAAAAACAAAAAATAATTTTTATTACAAAAGGACTCTAAAAAATAATTTTCAATCCTTTTAATTTTCATAGTAAATGAATGATGTCATGTAATAAATTTAATTTATGAATTTAATTATTGGTCTGAAAATTTTAATAATCATATAGATTATTAGATTTTAATATTAAAGGTAATTGAAATTTATAAGAAGAATACTAAATTTCTTCTAATAATTTTAAAGAAATTCACTATAATTATTATATTATCATCGCTGAAATTAAGTTGCAAGTATTATAACAAGAACATATAACAGACCCATATTCAGATCCATTAAAAATAATATGTTAAGCAGTACTCTCACCAGTTTCTGATAGAGAATTAAAAATTAATGAGAGTAATGATATGGATGATGACCTCAAATACCTTAGTACTTATATATACATTTTTAGAACTACTATTTTAACAAGACAATATAATGTAAATGAGTGATTTTCGAAGATATATTTTGATCCCACATTACTCTATGTAAATACTTTAATACCTATTGTGTTTTAATGATAGTGTTTTCTTAATACTAATAATTGTGTTCATCATTCAGTGATAATAACAAGAAATTATGCTTAAATGAAATGAATTTATATTTTTTTTAAATTTACGTGCTTTTGTAACTAAATTTGTTAAGTTCAGTATAAAAAATGTTGCAAGATTTCTGAAAATATTTAAGAAAATATTTTAAGGTTTCTTTCTTCTACAATTTGATAGGCAAAATTTCGAATTTTTACACTTTATAAAGAGCTATGAAATTTAAAAACGGAAGATATCTCTTGTTATAATTTGAAATTCTATTACGTTGGAAATATTTAAGTAAACTAGTAATACATGCAAATGTTAAAAATTCAAAACGAAGTTTATAAATTTGTCCATCCATTCTATTCTGCAGTTACTAATACCAGTAATTCTTCTATTGTCCTGTTGTGTAGTTGTTTTTTAACAGATCATGATAATATTTTAAAATATTGAAGAACTTCAATTTTTCGAAATAAATTAGTGACCGTAAATATATCAAATATAAAACAATTTCAATTTAATATTAAAAAATCATTTTAATATCGTAAATACTACATATCCAGTTGTATAGCACTTTTATAGCTACTACCAGTTGTACAGCAATTGGTTAATAACATTCAATAAGAGCGAAAAAAAAATAAATTACTTTTTATAATATTTATAATTTTTTTGAATTTTTTTTTTTTGTTAGCACTTTAGTAACAGGTGGCACATGTAAAAATTACCAAAAATCAACCAATAAGTATTCTAAAAATTTTAAAAATACCGAAAGTATAAAAATTATACAAATCAAATATTGCAAATTTTTTTTTAAAATAACCAAAAAATAAATTTTTGTTCTTTAAAATTTTTTATGACAACACAAATAGTTTTTACGTTCTTTTTAACATTTAAAACGATATAGTACTCGTAATTCAATGCAAAAGTTAAAATATGAAAAATATTATACAGAGTGGTTCGGAACTGGAGTAAAAACTCTAATAGAAAATTCACTGAAAATTTTTAGGAGAAAAATTATTCGGGCGAGGAGCGAAGGGGGGAGGGTTGGAATTCGGAATGTCAATACTGAGTTATAGATGGTGCTAATTATATTATCACGTAGATATATTGGAATTCAGAATGTCAATGCTGGTTATAGATAGGATTGTTTATACCGCCATGTAATTTTATTATAAAAACTTTTATTAATCTTAATTTATTTTATTAAAATTCGATTATTAATTCAATTCTAATTTTGTATTACAAATTAATTTATCATTATAATATTAATTATTATATTAGAATTACTATACTTAGTGTCACTTCACACTACCCTATTGCACTAAATAGTGAGAAGGAAGAAAAGGAAGCATATTGCTTTTATAAGTAGAATTTGGCATAAGTAGCGGTATTCGGAAGTATGCTACGAGATTCTTCTTTTACGATATTATTTTACTAATAATAATGGCCGCTACATGTCTATTGCTAATCTTTAGAGATAAAAAAAATCAGATTGAAAAACTTCTGTAATGACTAATATTCAATAAAAAAATTTTCGATTGTTCTCAGAATTTTTTAAAATTCTTAACCAAAATTTTGTGCTTAAAGCTGATATTATAAGAGACGGTAACTCATCAACCATTGACATTGTTATACATTAGAAAATGTGTTGTGAACAATATATTTCTCTAACTTCAACAGCTTCAAAGCTGTTATGAATATTTGTCAGGCAGAATATTTTTCAATCAGATTCTCTTTAACCCTTAAAAGACACTTGAGTTAACCCTCGTCGCGGGCAATTTATTTTCTTAAAAATCTCCAAAAAATCACAAAACGAGGGCTTAAATATCTGTTCTGGACTGCCCTGTGCAAGACATTTTATACATATACATACAATGCATCCTCGTATTTTTCGTTTTTCAATAAAAAGTTTAACTTTTTTAAATATTTTTAAAACTTTTGTTGTTTTTCCAATCAAATTTTTCGCTTTCCTTTTTTTTAAATTTATCATTTAACCGCATGCAATTTTTATGTTTTTCAAAAAGATCAATCATCAATATTGTAAGCAAATTTTATGGACACATTAAAAACTTTAAAATATAAAAACTTGAAAAGTTTGACAAAAGTTTTATGTTTGAGAAAATATAAAAAATTCAAAATTATTGAATTAATTTGAAAAAACAATGCATTTAAATACACAAATTTCTTCAATGAAAATATTAAAGGGCAGAAATATTAAAAACAAAATATTAAAAGCAGAAATTTAATTAAATAATATTATTGAATTTTACTCGTATTTAGCGCATATAACACGCGGTATCCTTCTGTTCATCACTATTTTCATTTATCAGCTTAATATTTTAATTTTCAAATATTATTGACCTCCAAATTAATCAAATATTTACAACTAATTTTGCATATTCCTGCTTTTGAATTTATGCCTTAAAATTTTGAGTACTACCCTGACAATACATATTGTTATTATATTATATTATACTATTTAAATCAAAGCTGGCCAAATGATATGATAGTGAAATCGAAAATTATAGATTAGATTTCAAAATGCACTTATAAAAGAACAAAGCTTTGATTTATTATCTTATCAAAGATTTCTTATAACAATTTGTATTTTATTTATATAAATTTTTTTTTTAAATCTGGATTTAGATTTACTGTTTCAGAGAAACTGTTACCATTAGGAAGAAATTTATAATAGATTTTTAATAATGGCAAATCAATTAACTGCGATTTTCCTATTGGCTTCTATTATAAATTTAGGTTAAATTTTTAATTTTTACTTATAAAAAATTATGAATTAATAAGAATTAAATTATTTTTTTACTAATAATAATTTATTTTAGGTTCAACATTAGAATGTTATAAATGTAGATCAGATGTAACACCAAATTGTGCAATTAATCCAAGAAAAGATATGGAAATACGAGATTGTTTGGATACAGATCAATGTGTAGTAGCAATTGGTAATAAATTATTACAAATATTGTATACACAAATAAGCATCTCAGAATCAAAGTGGCTTAAACTAGAAAAATTTATAAAATATTTACCATAGCACGTAAATAAATCATTAAGAATGAGCCAATAATTGAAATTGATAAACTAAATATGTAAAGAATTTATAAGAATTTTAAAAATTGATATTTTTTAAAGTGCTTATTTTGCAATGAATTGTAGGCCACTCGGTTTTTAAACCATTCAAATACAATTCAATTCTACATACCTATATAATTAAATATTTTATATTTTTTTTTAGTAAATGGCATAACACATCGCAATTGTTTTTCAACATTATTTCCAAATAAATATTGTCCAGAGAAATTATGTAAAACATGTAAAACATCACTTTGTAATGAAGAAATTTTTCCAAATGATCGTCTTCTATGTTATCAATGTTCTGGTGGTGAAGAATGTTTAAATGTTGAAAAAAATAATTTAAAACCATTAGCATGTTTAGAATATATGGAAAAAGATCGCTGTTATACAAATGTTAATAGTAAAACAAATATTGAACGTGGTTGTGTTTCGAAAAATTCTGAAAAATGTACAAATATTTGTTTAAAATGTAATTATAGTGGTTGTAATAATGAAAAAGATTTTTAAAAATAAATTGTTTATATATAATTGTGGTTAATTAAGTATACGTATTTAATTCCTATACAGTGTGGATTTTATATTGATTTTATGAAAATTAATATTAAAACAATTTAAAATAATTGAATTTTTAATTTAACTATGTTGACCATTTTTTTAATTGTATTTGTACAGAGCGATTTCCTAAAGCTCTCAACTTTAAACTATACCATTAATTACAGAATTTACGATAACATATTCAGAAAATTGCAAAAATTGGAAATGAGTAGAAAAATATTAAAAATGCTATTAGAAAAAAATTGTTGCTCAAAATTTATTTTCTTCTGAAATATTTTTTAAAAAAATTAAATATAATTTAAGTATAATATCAAGATCATTTAATCATTTAACAAAAAAGACTAGATAGTCAGCCATCTATTAAAATAATTTCAACCGAAACAAATTTTCTTCAGGCTTCTTACAAGCCTAAAATCTTTATTAACGCTATACAAGAGAGTTTAAAAAAAATTTAAAAATTCGAATTTTTCTGGAAATTATAAGATTTGTCATTCCGATACTTTACGAAATTCAGCCAAGATGCTATTAATATAAATTTCTCAGTTTCAATTTTTAGCTGACTCTTTGAAATTCATATATTGTTCGAATATTTTAAAAACTAATTACATCTAAAAAGAAAATGTGAACAAATTGTAAAATACCTCAAAATTTCTAATTAAAAACCTTATATATTTCGAAATTTTTGTTAACTATAATTGAAACTTTATACAGTCATACTACTAAATTGTAAGTGGCAGATTGAACCGATAATGTACTGCGACGTTAAATATCTATTGTGCTCAATGTTTTAGGAGCGCCTTGTATTTTGCCTAAAACACTCCTTTAACACCCACGTTTTTGAAAAAACCAAGCAATTTTTCCAGGTTCGCATACTACTAACAAAATTAAACAAACATTTTCGATTCTTTATAGGATAGTACTTAATGTTATAAAATATACTATAGATACGTACACACATTCACATAAAATAACTGTCTCGTTTTAACAAGATTAAAATTGTTATAAAATTCATAAAAATATTAAAAAATCATATTTAAAATTTTCATAAATAACAATTTTGTAAATAATATTAAAATTTTAAATTTAATTTAAATTTAAAAAATTCTAGAATCATTTAAAATAAAAAATATTATTTTTTTATTTAACATTAAAGTATAAAATTGCCTTTTAATAAAGTGTTATATATATACATAAAACCCTTATATTCTTAAATATTATACCCTTATATATATATGTAAATATATATACACACACCCACTTATATTAATATAGGTGTAAAAATTTTTTTACTAAAATTTATTATTTCTTAAAAATTATTTTTATCCTATTTAAAAAAAAAAATTAAAAAATCCCAATAGGTAATTTATTGTTATTATTTCTAACAGTTCTATTTCTGTTATATGGATACAACAAAGGACAATAACACATTAAATTTAAGTCCTATATATAATATTATATAATATATAAGAAAAATCTGTATATGTATGGAAAATTGTAACATTTAACTTTCACTAAATTAATAAACCAACGGACACACACACTATATAACTGTAATAACATTAATGGGTATATATACTGTAATATAATAAAATATAAAACAATAAAAGCGAATAAAAAAAAGATTTAAATAAAGAGAATTTTTTATACAATTTGTAAGAAATAAGAATTTGTATAGGAAACGACTATCAAAAATGAATTTTTATATTATTATTATTGTACTCGTATTCTATATATAAGGGTATTAACTAAAAACTGTTATATTTTTATATTTTAAGCCAATTTCAATTTAAAAATTCTATAAATACTATTAAAACTATTACTGTTTTTATATCATTCTAAATGTACGAGTATATATACATATATTATATAAGATGGTGACAGATGGTATCAATGCTATTGCAGTAAAAGTGTTAAAAAATAAAATTGTATATACGTACATAATATATATACTTTATAATGCGATAATATCGTTAGTATACATTTATAATATAAAAATGCCGTCTGGAAAATTTAATTTTATTTTAAAAGAAAAAAATATTTTATTTTTCATTTCTGTATGAGTACCTATATAAAAATGCTAAGATTAAAGGGCAATCTTTAATCAAATATACTAAAATATTATTTTTTTTAATAATATACTCTAATACAATATTGATTTTTATTTTAAATTATTAAAATATGCTGATAGATTCTTCATAATTCTCTGCTTCTTTTAACTATTTTTTAACTTTTACTATGGTAAATTTTAAAATTTTTGAATAAAGTAATTATAGGATTAGATCGTCGTTATCATTGTTTTTCAACTCCAACAAGAGATACAATACGTATTTGCAATACTAAGCAGAGAGAGCATTTCTATGCTACTTTAAGCAAGGACATTTATGAAGCTGAAATACCTAAATCGCATTGTATTAAGGATGTTTAACACATTACCGACTGACATCAAGATTTGTAAAAAAAAAAATTCAAATTAAGAATTTTACAGAAAAATTACTTTGTAAGATTAGTTTTAGTTTAAATTTCTTATTTACAATTATAATATAAATTGTCTAAAATTAAACAATAAATAAATAACTAATTAATAAAAATTATACACTTAAATTAATTCCGAAATTATATTTAAAAAATTCTATTTTTTCAAAAATTTATAAACTTTATCCAGAATTTTCTTTCCAATTTTCGTTCACATTAAACGAAAATAAAATTAAAATATAATTTCTCAATATTAAAAGTGTTATTACATAATAAGATAAAAAAATTCAAGTTGTAGGACGAATCTCTAATTAAAATCTTAATGAAATTTAAGTAATACGGCAGACTTCGATAAAATTGCTTTTGAAAAGTTTGAATTAATTAAAAAAAAATATAACAATTTTAGTATATAAACTGAATTTATCCGAAATACAAAGTTTCCAAATACCTATAAGGTAAAACTAATTATGATAGAGTCGAATTTAGATCCGCTTTTCAAACACAGCAACAAATTATTTTGAAAATAAATATTTCCTACCGTATATTGCTAACGCTGCCTCTCTTACCACAAATATTCGTGTCACTGGTTCTAATACAGCCCAAAAAAGAAATTCGGACATGGAATGCATTCTTTCCTTTTAATATTTTTGAATTACAAATAAGCTTTTGTTTTCTATAATCGCTTACCATTACAAAATGGTTACGAAAATGCCATATTTACTGATATACCAACTATACCTTCCTTTCTTCAAAATTTATTTTAAAATTAGTTGCTAATTTAAGTATAATATTAAAAAAATTTTTTGAATAAAATCTCTCTAACCAATATAAAATTACGTTTTTTTCTAAAATTGCCCTAATCATATATAGTATAGTAGATCAGAGGAGCACAAATGAAGACCAAAAATAAACAGATCAAAAAAAAATTTTTTTTTAAAAAACAAATAATACTTTAATCTTTCCTTAAATATCCTTTACTTTTATATTTTCCATTAATTTTGTTTTTTAATTTTTTACACCATTAAAATAAATTTTTTTCACCGTTTCTCATCATCCGTATAAAGAGAACTTGAACTTTGTATATACATGGTACCTTATTATATTTATTGTTGTTGTAATGAAAAAGAAACAAACCTTTATATATACCTGGTTATCTAATGGCATTATTGTTATAGCATAAGGACGCAATATAGTTTTTATTTAAAAGAATAGGTAAAATTTAAAGAGTACATAACTAGATATAAAATGCATATTACGTATTTACGATATTATGTATGAGTAAAGAGAAAAAAAGGTTTGTGTTTTTACTATTATTTTTTTTTTTTGCAAAGTAAACTTTTTTATTGTGCAGAATTGTATTTGTTTTTTTTCCTCTTATATATTGCAAGAAGAAATGAAAGATTTTTATCTAAAAATTAATGAAAATAAAAAAAAAAAACAGTGAAAATGGATTTTAAAACGGATTTTCGGATTTCTACAATAATTAGACTGCATTCTGCCACAATTTATATCCATTTACCTATAGTTTTCCTTTTCTTTTGGCATTTTTTACTCCTTTTTGTCCTTATTTTTTTTTTGGCGAATATTTTAGTTTCAGAATAATATGGAATGGAAAATGTAAAATATTATTTAAAAAATTAATTTTTTTGTCTTTAATATTCTTAATTTATTAAGAATTTTTTTAAGCAAAAATTTATTATTTTTCAAATTGAGAATTTAATTATAAAATTAATTTTTAAGGGGTATTTTTTTCCATAATATACCAAATCTAAATATATAGAAGCGGATTAAAGGTACATGAATTCAAAATTAAATTTCGAAATACAATTCGAAATAGTAACTGTAAAATTTTTATAATAAATAACAGTAACTACAAGTATTTCTAAATTCGGCAAATGTATTTGAAATAGCCACCAAATTGTGTATTTACGGCTGCACTGCAAGCCCCATTCAACTATGATTTTAGTAGTAGTTAAATAATTCTCTAATATTTTCTAAAAGTATTCGAATTCTAAATACATACAAGGCTAATAAATTCAAAATATGCTGATTATAATATGATGAATAAATCTCAATTAGTTCCGAAGTATTTGGAAAAAAAAGTATTAAAATTTATTGTGCATTAATTTTGGTAAAATTATATTCATAAATCTTTGCTTTATTAATATGAAACATGCATTCTTTCGACTTAAATAGTTTTTCCCTTAAGACCCCAGATATTGTTCTTTTCTTTTTTTTTTTAAATACTTTTATTACAATAGATGCTAAGCTGCTATATTTACCACAAAAATGGTCTTGTGCTCCCGCAATATTTTTAATTTTCAAAAATAAAACTAAGACTCTCTTATCGTAATTTTTTCTAATTACTCAAAATTTCATTTAGGTTTGACAAAAACCGCATATACACAAAAAAGGAAGGTGCATTTTTTTCTACCACATGAACAAATCTTAAAACTATAACAAAAAAAAACAATGACATGGGATTAAGTCCAGGAATTTTCTTTAGGGCCAACAGAAACAATTAAAAAAAATTTCGTGTACTTTTCCTTTTCATCTCCTCTCCTTTGTACCAGTTTAAATTACACGCGTAGTCTTGCTATTTTCATATTATCAAAATAAGTAATTTTTTTCATATAAAAATGTTGAAAAATTGGTGCTGAAAGCTTTATGATCTTTTACAAAATTCTATTTATTTTTCACATATATAGTTTATTGTGTATAAGTGTGTGAATTTTCTCACCAGGTTAATGTATTTTTATTACCTCCCAAAAAAAAAGAAGAAGAAAAGTAATAATTTAAGTATAAAAAGAATTTAAAATATTTTTACAATTATGTTTTTTTTTTTGGTTTATATGGCAAGGATAAAGAAATCAGTTTAAATAAATTTATATGTACACATGCATTTGTCTATGTTTAACAAATTAACATTCTCATATGCATAAACTAACATTAAATCGAGATTGTCTTAATCGACGTAGTATATAATCGAGGTTATTACCCTACTAAAATTCTACCTAATATAATTAATGTAGGCAATACAACAAAACATCTACTCCATAACTTATTAGTTCTGCTCTAAACCTTTGCGGAAGTGATTAAGATGAATATATTTTAAGTCAAGTTAACGCTTTATATCTTTCTTTATTTTTGAATTAACATTTTTTTAGATTTTCAAAAACATTTCTTACATTTAAAATTATTTCTTCCTAAACTATATTGATAAATCTATTGTCAACACAATTACTATGGCTTTGAATGCCTTAACTAAATTCAAATTTTGAAATCATATTTAATCATTTTTTCTACTGCTCATAATAATAAATTTAAGGAAATCTTGAAAGAATTGTATATTTGTAAATGTTGTTATAAAACCATCTGAACAATATTTTGAATAATCAATGCCCGCGCTAACAACACCCAATAAATAATAATTTCCGTAATTGCCAAATCCTTTCTTTATAACAAAACCACCACCACTATCTCCTCGACAAGCTGTTGCATTTGCATTATTCGTTGAACAAAATCTATCTCCAGTAATTTCTGCTTTATAATTTGGATGTACCATTTTTTTACATAACGCATTTGTTATTGTTAATACTTGAATAGTTAATAGTTCTCCACTTGACCTATCATCCAAGGTAGTTGATCCCCATCCGAAGAGTCTTCCTATAACATTATCTTTTACATGATAATCATTATATGGTTTCCATTCTACACACACCGGTTTAATATGACTAGTGTATTCAATATGATGATCCAAAATCAAAACAGCAATATCATTCCTTACTGGATCAGATTGATAACTAAAATCAAATTTAAAGATTTTTTAAATTTTACTTTCAAAAATCAAAAACAAAAATATATTTTAAATATTACAAACTTTTGAGGTGTGTGTATCTCCTTTACACCAGCAAAATGTTGGAACCTTTCATCCAAATCAAATTTACGATACCTTTTTCCAGCACCTACAAGATAATTTGATGCTGGAAATTTTCTTCCTGTGGCATGATTATCAAAACAATGACCAGCTGTTATAATAATATTTGAATGAATTAATGTGCCCCCACAAACTTGATCAAATTCTGGATTTGTATTATTGGTGTATATGCCAACATGCCAGGGAGCTGATAAAATATCAACTGGAGAACCTTTATATAATAATGGGATTGAATCTGGTTCATAAATTCTATCAATTTCACCACAAACACTTTCACAATCATTACTATCCTCTGTGTCGTACTCCCATTTATTATACACACATTTATTCAAAAAACTATTAGTTTTTGATTTTTTGTTTTGATATCCCAGATCACATCTTAATATTATAATATCAGCGCCTTTTGAACAATCGACTGGTTCTTCCACAGTTCTGGAACCACCCAAAACACCGCCACCTGTACTAGCAACTTCGTAAAATGTTTCAATTTCATAATTATAGCATAATACTTCAATTCTCTCTGGGTGCTCAAGTTTTGGTGTAAAACATTTGTTTTCATATTGTGGCTGCACTCTTGATGAATGAAGAATAAAATATAAAAAAACTCAAAACACAATTCTTTTAAACTATAAAATTCCTTACCCTTCTGAAACAAAGCAGCTAAAATTAATTTTACGACCTAAACAACTGGGTTTAATAGTTTTATCGAACTTTAAATAATCCCTCATCGATAAAACACAAAATTCTTCATTATTAGTGTTGACGCGTTCAATACTATCATATAAAAAATATATCATATTCTTTCCATTCAGAATTTTGTTGTGGAACGCGTATTTTAAAATCAGGACCAAGTTTATCTTTAGTTGGTTCACATATTGTTAAAATATTTCTTTCGTTTACAATTACACCAGAAAATCTGTTTGATTCTATTCCATCATCTGATCTTTCGAAAATTTCAACATATGAAGTTGGAAACTGTATTGGACTTGATAGTATTGGACCGATTTTTGTTGAAGTTTCAATGCATTCTGATAAACATATCAATGGTTTCTCAGACCATTCTCCATTTTCCATACAACTAATTGTTTGTAATGTAATATTTTTGTCATTATAATAACCGGGGCCACAGTAAAGATACGCTCTTGCAGGGTTATTTAAGCAACCTACTGAATCACCTTCCTTTGATTCACAAAGAGACTTAATCCCAGGGTAATATAATACTTTTACATCACAAAATCTTGCACTTGAACTTGGTAACTTTATTAATAATAAAAATAGTATGGGAATTATACAAAAATATTTTCTAATGTTTCCATTTTTAACACAACCAAAATCATTTTTATGAAAGTAAACAATAGCCATTGTTTCTTCGCGTTGTTCCCACTATATGAGTATTACTTAGTTTTAATTGAAACACAAAATTATTTGTTACAAATATGAGTGACTATTCACTAAAGCGAGCTACTAAGAACTGATCAAATCGAAAATATTTTAGAAAATTTCATCCAATTGAAATTTTAATTATACACAATTCTTTTTCTTTTTATCCCACATGTTACAAAAATTTATTAGCGGATTTATACACGTATAAGAATTATATAAAAAATATCTAATTTAACACGTTACAGAGCACATTTATAAGATAATACGGCAATATAAATTTATTTATTTTAAAAACACGAGCAACCTATAGGTTTTTTCGAAAGAATGGATTCTGATAAAACAAATATGACAAAAATCAAAAATTTACAGTTGAACTTCTACTACTCGAACTGCTCTTGAACTGGAACCATTCAACATTTTTAGCTTTTTTCTTAATTTTTCCATATTAACTATTTTGCCTTGCTCGAAAAAGCTCTTTAATTCGAACCTTTCTCTTACTCGAATCATTTTATGACGCTTAAAATATGATGTAACAAAAACGAGTAATGTGTCAATTTAAGGAACTTCAATAAAGTTTTGGTTATTGATTTCTTTTACCTTTTACGTTTAATCACGTTTAATTTCTTTGTAAAAAAGTATGAGTTTTTCGTACACAAAGTATTAAAATACTGGACCCAAATTTCAAGCTATAAAAGTTTCACTGTACATACGATATTTACACATGAATTCTATATTTACATTTAAATTAAAAAGGTCATTAACAAAATAAATCGAAACTTGAAAATCAAGTTTAAAAAAACATTAAAAATATTTACTAAAGAATTAAGAATTAAAAATATCAACTAAAGCAAAAAAGATTGATCAAAATTGTTATTAAAAAATCGAATGTGATAAACAAATAATCGACGGCAAGGTGTATTTTCTAAGTTAGCGAATATGGTACTCATGATTATGAAAACGTGCATTAAATAGTTCTTGCAATTTTTAAGGCGGCCAGTAAGCTTTCAGTTAACATACCTAAAATATGCAAATTTGACTGTTAGTAGAAGCCAAGTAAATTCAGTTTCTTAGTTCTGATATTTCCAAGGTATTAAGTAGTTCGTTGCTGCAACACCCTGAGTAAATATATTAAACTTCAAAGAAATTGGTTAATTGTGCGTCTTTATATGCGCACAAATGCAATTTCGGACCGTATTAAAAGTTGAGTTGCTAGCATTGGATTATCCCTTCAAATATATTAGGTGATCTCTTGTACTATCATCTAAATTGCTAGCAAAGTTCAATGTGTATGTCTCTTATGTTTTTGAAAACAAGTAACATTATGTTTAACACTCTTGATTACCGCGATTTTTAACCGGTTTATTATTAACATTATCGAAGTTTTTGATATGAAAGAAAAAACAAAACTAAGATACACTAAACTATGTTAATAAAATTAACGAATTTACCTTTCAATTAACTTTAATTATTAATTCAAAAATCAAAAATTAAAAATCTATTGCCGGAATTGTTAAAATATCAACGTTTTGTTTCTTAAACCATTTAGAAAATAGCTAAAATTTTTAAAATTTAAAATTTTCTTTAGAAATCTTTTCAGACAAAATAGTTCTTTAATTATTATAATTAGGCATAATTAAGTTATTTGTATAACATTAGCGTATAACAGTCATAAAATCCTATAAATATGATGTTTCTGTGTTTGTTCAAAGACGATTGAATCGATCGAATGTAAACAATACCTTGTAGTCATGATGATCACGACTATATATGTGGAGAATATGTGGAGAACTATTTGCCTATAATTTGTTCATACCTTTATAACTGGACGCTTTGTAATCCAGTTCGGGGAGAAAAAATTTTTCAATTTTTTACGACTTTACCCGTTATTTTGGCTATACGTCATCCATTTGTTCTGCATTTGTAAGAAGGAATTTGTAATATTTATTCCCAATTTTAATTACACTTTTATATATAAAATTTAGTAATAGCAACCGAAATTGTAATTTCCAACATAAAATGTTCGAATATCTATAATTTAATAAAAAAGTCGACCTAGTATGTCAGACTTAAAATTTTTCTTTTTTTATTTTGACTCCAATTTAAAGTGTTTTGCGTTTGTTTTCTCAATTTTTTTTTAGAATTCGTTAAAATTTTTGTGTTACATTATTATTTTTATTTTTTTTTTTACTCACTTATTTTTTATACATTTTTAGTGTCCTGTTGGGACATGGACTCAATGTACAATTTCAAATTACAAACTACAACAATTACAAATCGTTGAATCACAATTTTATTCCGGTTTTTTTTTTTTATTGTTCTTTTCTTATATTTTGTTTTTATATATGATTATATAAGTTTTCAAAAATAAAATTTTTTGTTACAACATGTTGCATGAAATTTTCAATTCCAAAAAAAAAAATTACTTATTATGGTTTTTTTTTTATTTTTAGAATCATTCCGAAAAATTTTAAACCAAAATGTGCTAACTGATTTCAGTTTGTTAGAGCACCTGAATTCGAAATATATTAATCGACACTGAAAGTAAAAAATTTTTTACGATATAGTATAATTCTTTTCATAGTATAACACCTATAATATAACTCAAGCTACGAATAACAGCAAGAGGCGACAGTTTTAATTCATCGTTTTGAAATTAAAAGCATTTTGTTTTCATATTTTCAACGCTATAATGTTGAAGCCAGCTCTTAAATATGAAGAATTAACAGTAGGCAAAGCAAGGATTAGCAATGATTAGCAGTTTCAAAATCAGCTGGAACGATTCCTTAAAATAAAAACTTAAAATAATAAGATTATAAGCTAAACATTGCAAGGATATAATAGCATGGATAAAATATTGGAAAAGCTTACATACACTACCCCAATGTTATCTAAGATAGAAAATCTCAAAAATCTCAAAAATTCTTTAATAAAAATGTGATTTTTTCGAAAAGCATTTTTTTCAATCAAACTTAATCGGAACATTGGTAACAATTTTCATCAACATGATTTTATTATGACCCCATTCGATCAGGAAATATCCTAAAAAACAATAAAAAAAAAAAAGAAGAAAAAAATACTTCCTGCGCTCCTTTTTTTTTTTTTCGTTAATAAAATTAAATTGTTAAAGTTGCTTTGGTTTGAAAAAATTTTATTTGTTGCTTTATTTTAATTGTGTGTATTGAGACCTGCTGTTCAACTGCGTTATATACCAAATAAAATTACCCTCAAAATCTTATTTTAAGATTGAATTTGCAAAAAAAAAAAAACAACAAGAAAGACGGCAAAAAAGAGCAAAAAATTGTAAAATCGTGAAAATTAAATTTGACAAATGAAAATTGTGAGGAAAAAACGATGCATATGAAAACGTGCAATGGAAATTTTCCATTTTGATAAGAGAACAAGGAAAAAATTTTCTTTATTCAAATTAGTCGTCGTATAACCTAAATACATTCAGAAAATAATTAAACTTACATTACACTCTGCTGACATTATTAAAGTAAATTGAATATTGATAGCGATATTTTTTACTTGTTATTTTGGACATTTTTTTATGAATGAAAATATTGCTAAATAGTTTTGAATTGAAAAATAAATGTACTCTCGATTTGAAAATATAAAACTGGAATTCTATATTGTAAAATGTATATACATTTAATCGAAACAAAATATGTATGTTTGTATATCCTAGTTAATGTTTTAAGTTTCATTGAATTTAACTGAATTTTCGCTTAAGAAATATATTGACTTTGATTGATAGTGTTTTAGAAAATGAGTTAAATTGTTGGGTATTCTACATCCATCGAAGACTATTTCGAAAGTGTAATGTATTTCACTAAACAATTCTCAAACTGGAAGTTGTTTTTTACAACTAACATCTATTTCTCTCTTTTGTTACGAGTATTCAGCGAAACTAACAATTTTTTTTTCCAAACAAGAGTTAAGTTTAACTATCTTCGAAAAAAAATTCTTCGCTAAGTTTAACTATCTTCGAAAAAAAGTTCTTTAAAAAACCATTAAATGACATTTTTTTGCATACAAAATTTCAATTCGAACATTTCGAATATTCTTATTTATGAACGAATAAGATAGTATTATGTAGCTATGTGCATCTAATTTTTGCTTTACTTACTAAATGTTACACAATTTTTTGCCTGAGATAGCAAATTGTTGGATGTCACAAAATGCTATAATTTAATCATTGACATAAACAACCAGATTATTTTATAATTAGTACACGTTCATTAAATATCTGCATTGTATTCACATAAACATATGAGAAAAATTCCGAATATATTAACATCGGTGCAATTGCGACGCATACACATAATACATATAGGTTAATTTTTGAAATTATTAAAAATTCCGAATTTGATTGAGTATAAAGGATATTAATCATCATAATAAATATTGTTACTTAAGGATTCAGCTAAATAAAAAACCTTCTTTAAAAAAACCAAAACACATACATGTGAAATCTGGTACAATCAAATTGTAAAATCTTATCCAGTAAAAAAAGGTTGATAAATGAAAGAGTGTAAATAAAGCAAAGAATCAAACCATGGAAAATTTTTATATCATTAAAAAACCCGCTTAGCCAATCTCTAAACCATTAACATATAAAACATAGATGGCGCTCATATTTCGATTCCATCCGTTCCTGTTAAAAGAAAATCAAAATCAAATTAAAAATAATCAAAATCAAAATAATCTTCGATAGAGAACCAAAAAAAAACAGCATTTTCAATTAATTCTAATTTTATTACGAGAAATATCTTAAAATTTTCTAACATAATTTAATGTAAATAATCAGTAAATACTTTAATCGTCATGATGACTCCAAAAAATACATTTAGTACACAAATATTTAAATCCAATATAATAAAATATAAACACATAATTCACTTTAATTGATGTCCAAAATAAATTTCAATTTTATCGTCTTCCACTCATATAAATTTTATAAAATAAACAAAAAAAAAAACATAGAAAAATTAAGAAAAAATGTACCAAAAAAATAACAAAAAAAAATCACTTCTAGTATTTGAGTTCAATGATGGGTCGAATCCGTCGCTACTCGTTTGCTTATTTTTTTGAACATCTCAACAGTATTTTGATATACTGTTGCAATTCTTTCCATAAAATACCACATTAATAAAACATTTTCCTCCATAAACTAAATATTTTCATTTTAGTAACAATAAAGCAAAACTAATGTTATTACCCAACCAGGTGCGTTTTAAACTGTGTTAAATTCCCTCACAATTTATACATATGTCTGACAAAGATTTGAGTTCTCTTATCTTTATCTCTCGACAATTTGTAAAACCTGATTTTAAAACAAAATTATTAACACATCAAAATTAAAAAAAAAAAAGAGTATTACTGCAATACTCTTCTCAAATTATATTTGATAAAAAAATAAATAAGAAAATTAAAAAAAAAAATTTATTATGGAAGACAACCGCACACAAAAAAAAAATATACCAAGAAAATTGAGAACATACGTACAATGAATGTCATGGCCTAGATTTTCTGTCATAATATCGTCTTGCAAACCATTTAATAAATATAGTTACGGTACGGACGAACACCAAAAAAAAAACGATAAACAAAAACTAAATGAGCAAAAATTTGATGTGTTTACAAACAAGAAAATAATGATTAAAAGAAAATTGAAACAAAAACAAACAAGGTGGTTTTTTTATATTTGCAAACACAAAAAAAAACAAAAATATTCAAAAAATATCACAAAAATTTTTACTTGTCGTTTTCTATACATTGCAATTGTATGAGCGCATCAACCCGATCATTATAAAATTAAATTTTTCGAAAATTCAAAAAATTTCGATATTAATTTTTTTCTTACAATTCGAAAAAAAAATTTTTATTTTCTTTTCAAATTTAGAAAATTCAATTCAGTTGAGTACGTGTTTTCCAAATGTTAAGTCGTCAAAGGAAAAAAAAAAAAAAAAAAAAAAACTTAAAATCGAAATATTCAAAAAAAAAATAATCTGAACCTAAAAATAGCATTTTAACAAAAAAAAAACAAAATTTTTTTTTTTTCGCTTCTTGTTCAACTTCAAATTTGTGTACCATATTTCAAAATGCTCATTTAATTAAAAATAAAAAAAAAAAAATTTTTTTTTTTTTATATAACGAAAATTTTTAATTTAATTTTTTTTTTTTCTATTATTTATTTTTATATAAATTAAAAATTAAAAAAAAATAAAAAAATCGCATAATTTTTTCATTTGAAAATCGAAAAGAGAAAAAAAAATTCCCACATAATTGACATATAAAATAAAAAGAAGTCCCGTGAATTTTTTTTTTGTATTTGTGTGCGTGCGTGTGTTAAACACACTAAGTATATGCGGCCGTATATCGGTAAAATTAACAAAAATGAAAAAAAAATTTTTTTGTCTTTTTTTTTTTGTTGTCAATCTATTTTTGAATAAAAGCTAAAAATTTTAAAAATCGCAATTGGAATAAAATGAAAAAAAATATATAAAAAAAATTATTTTAATATTTTGTAAAATAAAATAAAAAAAAAAATTAAATTTTATTTTAAAATTTCTGTTTTAACTGTTTGCAAATCAAATTAAATATTTTATATAAATAAATAAATAAAATATCACAAAAAAAAAATTATTAATAATATTTTTTATTAAATTAATTTTTTTCTTTTTTTAATTCTTCCTTTAATTTTTTTAATTAAAAAACAAAAAAAACCTGATGCACAGAAAATTAAAGATCAACATTATTTATAATTAAAAAAAAAATAATTTTATACAATAAAATAATAATAATAAAAGTTAATAAAAATCACAAAAAAAAAAAATTTTTTTATAAGAAAATTCTTTTATAAATGTTACGCAATAATGAAATAAATATATGGATAAGAAAATTTTTAATAAAATTAAAGTGGAAATATAAATTTTATTTATAACAACAATATAAATATTATAAAAATATAATAATTGTTTTCTATTTTAATTAATGAAATTAAAAAAATTAATTAATATATATATAAAAAAAAAATTAAAAAAAAAAAAATAACAAATAAAATCAATTTTATATTTAAATATACATAGTATTATAAGAAAGGTAAGTACACACATATATATAATTTTAAATGTTTGCATATATAACAGTATATAACAGTATATAACAGTATATAATATGCAAATATGTACGTAACATTTTTATACATTCAGAAGCTTTCAAACTGTAATGAAATTAGTAAATTTTGAATATTTATCTTTTATACGTATACAGCAATTTTTCATGCACAATAATTCATAAAAATAACTGTTATACAGATCAATATTTATCTGTAGTGTGGTAGTGTGCATATTTACAAATGTAAATATAAGAGTAAATTATAAAAAAATATAAATATTTTTAGAAGTTGGAGAGACTTGAAAAAAATAATTATTATTTTAAGTTTATATATTCATCCGAATTATTTGGAATAATTGCAGGATGCCTGTTATACTAAATTTAAAATTCCTGTTATACTAAAATTGAAAAGTCTTTAAATATATTCATACGGCTGTTCAATGTGGGTGTGATATACAACTAATATTTAGAAAGATTTTTAAACTCAGTACTATCGGGTTCGAGATCCCAAAGAAACCATATAGTCTCCTTTAATTATAAAAGTAAATCCTTAGAGAACGTGTAAATCATAAACAAAAATATGGAATATTAATATGGGGTACAATCCTTAATGCATTCAAATCATTATCGAACTCGACATAAATAAATAGCATAAATATCACTAGTTTTCTTTTGAGATCGAAGCATGTTGCGGCGCGATAGCTATAGTTTCCAAGAGAATTGCATAGTCACTAATTTACCAAACTAAATTTTAAACATAAGGTCTTACAAAACGGAGTGGAAAACTTTTTATTAAACAGTTTAGCTGAAATGTTTGTTTTTACTCGTAAATTGTACATTATCATCTCTATCATCGTAACTATAATATTATTTTGTACGTATGCATGCGGATATTTCGGTTTGTCTAAAAAATTTTAGATTAGTATGCGGAAAATTATTGTTTTTAGAATTCTATGCTCTAATATTCTGTTTTTTTCTTTTTTAATGTTTTATTTTTTATGAGGACGCGAGCACCTTTTCATTATTTTAATAATGGGTTTTTTTTATAAAAATAAACAAAAAAATTGTGTATGGTATGTTTTGAAACGATTACAGAATTTTTTATAATAATATCCAAACACTTAATATTATAAAAAGTATTGCCATGGCGTGCTTTTAATTACGCAATTTTTCAAAATATCTTTTGTTTTTATAGTTTTGTACGTAAACGTTTTAATGTATTCATTAATGTATACATAAAGTAAACTATAAAATAATAATAAAAAAATTTAAAATAAATTGGTTTAAGAATTTAGAATTTTTAAAATAATCAAAAACATAAAAAAATACATTGTACATTCTTATCAATTTATAGAACAAAGCGAATTTATAAATTTAACTTTTAAATTAATAGCCGATTTACAATACGTATATGCAGCGAAATCTCAAATTTTAAAAATTTTTCATAAGTTTTTAACTAAAAATATGAAATTTAGTATGAAGAGCATGACCAGACTTGATATTTTTTCTAGCAAAAAATGTCAGGTATACTCGTATAGATAAATTTCTTAAAGAAAAGATTTGACTCCTATAACCGGCCTGTATCTAGACGCACAATGACAACCTGGTTTTTGTAAGAGAATGGTAACGATACGGCATATTTTTTTAAATTGGAGCGCCATCTGAAGTGATACTCGTTGATCATCTTAACAAATCAATGATGATAAGATTATATTGCTAACAATTCATTAAGTGCAACGTGTAATAGTATACTGCATTACTGCAAGCGCCTTCCATCATTGCCACAAAAAAAGAGAAGGCAAAATGTGTGAAAGGCAAAAACTATCATAAACTAAAGAAAAAATTAGTGAATATTAAAGAGCTGTGCCATTAAGTTTATTTTTTTAATGATGACACTAAATTTTTTTCCATATAAAATTAATATACACAATGGCAACTATTTTTGACAGTTCATTTTTAAATTATAACACCAAAATTGAATGATTATAGCATTCACAAAAATGTGAACAATATACCGTAAACAACGGCTTTACGAAACTGTCATATTAAAACAGTTTATAAACGTAATAAGTTTGAGAATCACTGTTTTACATTTTACACTTAAAAATTTATTTTTATCGTTTCAATTTAATACTCATATATGAAAATTTTTAGGTTAAATTTTTTGCGCTGAATTTACATATTATTATTTTTTTTTTTTAGGTTAGATTGTCTGACCAATTTTTTCGCATATTTTATATTTTACACAATACATATACGCACCTCACATACATACGTACACTTTCATATTATTTCGATATTCAATTTTAATAAACCAAATATTTAAGGAGTCATTTGTTTATGATTTCAAATTGGAAAAGTAAAAAGTGTTTAAATATTTTTATTACACAAAACAGTAATAAATCAAAATGTTCTTTTTTTAATAATATATTTTTTTTTTGATTTTTTAAATTTATTTTAAATATTTATTTAATCAAATAAATATAATAAAAACCAGCCATTTTTTACTGTGTCAAATACTTTTGCAATATCGCGCTATTATATGTATACATACACACATGTATAACTAAGTATTTTATGAATTTTATGTAAAGTGTATAGATACTAACACATTCAACAGTTGTTTTCAATGTATTTATAAATTACGGTAATAATTTATATTGGATAATTCAACGAAAAAATACAAAAACTTTATGAGTTAGCATGGTAAGCAATGCAGCGCGGTGAGAATTGGAAAAACTCAAAACGCAAAATCATAACAATATTTTTTTTTTTTGAAAAAAAAATTTTTTTTTGTCGAATTGTTTCTCATGATGGTAAATGAAAAATAAATTATTTACACGTTTTCAACACTTTCACGTCATGTACATTATAGGCATGTATGTATGTATATAAAATTTTTATTAACATTTAGAGCAATATTAAAATTATTTATTATAAATTAATATTTTTATATATTTCAATGTATGTACTTATAGACTAAAATTGTCACTCTTAAATTATTTTTATTTTTTTTTTCGAAAAAAAAATGAGTAATAAAGGTTATAGGCCTTTATTCATTCATAAAAAAAATATTAAAATAAAAAAAAAATTTTTTTTATATTACGTTTTGAATTTTTCGAAGGTCTAAAATAAAATTGTCTGGGATTTTTTTTTAACATTATATTGTTAATAATAATTATCGGCCGGTATACATCTACATTATTTAGTTAGATAAACATATATAATGCAAATACGCATTTAGTTTTGGTAGGTGTGCATTTTTTTACTTAAAAATGAAAATTGCACCCGGTTCGATTAATTAACGTATACTTACGTATAAAGGCATTATTTCTAATAATCGCATAATAAATTATGTACTTGTTTTAATATTTGAATATTTAACAAAATTGTTGGTGATTGTGGAGCATTGAACAGTACGGAGTCTCTGGGTGGTTTCGTCCTCGCAGTAAGTGAGCTAGGAGAAGTCGATTCCCACAACATACTCGAATTTATCAGGAGGTTAGGTCTCGAGAAAGTTCTTTAGGCATAATGAGTGGAAAGGGGAAAAACAATTAGACTGAAAAATGAATTGGCAAACATTTTTAATTAGAAAATTGTAAAATTTTGGACGATAATTGTACAGTCAAACTACTATAGAACGGATCCTATAAGACGAAATTCTCCTTAATACGAACTGTTTTGCTGCACTTTGCATTTGCGTTTAGGTGTCAAAAAAACGAATCTTTCGCGTTGATTGCCTAGAAAACACAAATTCTCCCGAAATTAGCTCGAAGCAAAACAATGTTAATGTAAACCACCTCGTTAACACGAAAAACAATTAAATTCGTTTAAAAATCATTAATTCGTATTTTATATCACGCCTATTCCCTCTAACACAAACTAATTTGAATTAATTAATATGAATGACATTCTAACTAGTGCGAATTGTCTCTATTGTCTCTATTACGAACTAATCTTGTGACAAAATAATGATTTATATAATGGGAGTCGAACTATATAGATTCAAATCTTAATTGTTTACACGTATACACATAGTAAACATCTAAATGTTATACATACATACCATTTATATTGACCCAATTTTTTCAAAATAAAATAAATAATAGATAATTGCTTTTGTTTTTAACAAAGACAATCCTGCACAATACAATACATTTTATGTATTAGCCTTTAATCTCTGACCATCGAATTGAAAAATGTAACAACATTTTTTACATTTCACGATTAACTTTTTACTGTTTGAATAAAAAAAGAGAAATAACTAAAAGCCAAAAAAAAATATATACGAAATTTAATTGAAATAGCCAGAAATTAGACCGAAAATCAAATAAAACTGTACACGTTTCTCATAATCAAAAGGCATGGAAAACAATTCGAATAATACATGCATGATATATGTATAATTATATTTATTGATAGAGCTATGTTGTGTAGCTAAGTTTGTCAGTATCACATATGTATATGCAAGTCCCCACTCCATGAGTCTGTCAAATTACTCACCACAATTTAATTTTTAGCATTAGCTCTGTTAAATCTCAATTTATTAATTGTTAAATTAATAATTTATAACATGATATGATTACAAATTTATAAATGCTTAATGTACCTATTCAATTACCACATATCGGCATGCATAACGAAATAGTTTTCTTTCTTATCACAAAAAGCTTTTATGAATAATATGTTATTAGTATTCAACAACAAATCTTCTTGATAGCTGAACAATATTTTAGTTATTTACCTATATACTACTATTGTACATTATTAATTGCATATACTTACTTGCGTGTGGATACAGAAGTAAAAAACTTACAATAGTGAAAAATAGTGAAAATCAAATAAAACTGCGAGTATTAAAGGTCAATATTAGATTAAAACTCTCGATACTCGGAAGTCAGGTTGGCCGAGCGGTCTAAGGCGCCAGATTTAAGCTCTGGTTCCCAAACGGGAGCGTGGGTTCGAACCCCACACCTGACAAATTT